TATATCTTATAAAATCCAATAAATATTCTAACCTTTTATTTAAGAACTTTAAATTTATTTAAAAAATTAAAAATAATAAAAAATTGTTGTTAGGTGTTTCTTTGTTTTCCCTTGACCTACCAATCTAATCCAAAGTATTATAGAGGCTTAACCCCCTCAGTTCCTCTTATTGTAATAAGGATGATCCTTCGTTAAGAATGACCCTCGTCTCATACCATAAGTTTTCATTGAATTATTGTTCTGTCATTACTTTTATTATGCACAAATCAATTTCCATCCGATAAACAAACCTTCTAATCCCTCTAAAATGTTTTTTATTGGCTGTACATCGAAAATAAAATAAACTAAATTTAAATTTCAATTCCAATAAATTTATGAAATTTAAAGGAACTTGATCCAACTGTTTCCCATTGGGCGTAACATGGGAATACCTTTCTGGTTAGTGCAGCGAACGCCATTAGTTAATTTACTATTTAGAGTTGTAAAATGTAGTATTATTGATACCAGTGCTTAAACTCCACAAGCATGGAACCCAGTCACGCCAACCATGCATTGCCAGCTAGGCAACGACAAAAACTCGATTACCTGTAAGTACACGGAAAAATTAAATAACCCTGTCATACATAATTAAATAAAGAAATAGCACTATATCTATATAAATATAATCTTCATAAGGTAAGGTGTCATATAATATTCTTCTCAGCTTTTTTTTCTGGAACCTTCTTTTCACATGCCGACGAAAATGTTTAATTTGGCTATCAATTTAGATGCTTAATTTAATGTTTCTAATAAAACTGGATGATTGAAGTTTGTGGTTGATAATTAAATAGCATAAATCGTGACCTGTTCAGACCTGAGCGCATTACATTTTAATCTCGGACATCATCATCTTTGTGTCGGGGTTCCAGCTAATAACTTAATCCACCCTAGAGACACTTCATAATTGCACAGCACAGCTTGCAATAATGGAAAATAAAGTCTTTCCCGATTTGCTTATCAGCTAACAACTTTCGCTAAAGTACGTAAAAGAACGAAATTTGCAGAAGAGCAATTTGGAGCACTTTTAGGTAAAAGTTTGTATCAAGGGGGAAAGAAAGAGTTATACTTCCTGTATGCAACAACCATGCGTACTCGCATTCCATTGAACTCCCTTTGTCTCTAGTTCGTTCACTCAGATAATGCTAGTTTAGAAAGTCTCCATGAAATATTTTAACTAAGCATGCATGTAATTAACATATATGCTGATTTTTAAAGCCCATCCTTTGATTTTTTTGGATAAATATTTCTTATTTGGTATGTAATTATCCCTTATTTACGTTGATACTAATAAAGTTAAATAAAAGTAATATTTACAAAGTAGCCACCTAGGTGTGTGTGTCACGATGAAATTATTGAGAATTTGATAAGATTGAAAAATATGGTTGTATTTTATCTTGAATTTTGTGAGAATTTGTAAAATAGATGAAAGAGAGTGGTTGATTTGTCTGTATGTAATTGCCACATATTTATTTACAAAACATATTTTATAACGACTGTCATATAGTTCTTCAAAAGCGTATATATTAATTTTTGACGCCCTAATTAAATATTTACGAGGAAATATCGAGCTTCTTTTGTTTCTCGTTTTCTTACCGTTCTACTTACGTTTTCACTCAGTAGCAGTCTAATGATGCAACATATACGTAAAGCGCAGTGCCTTTCATTACTACTCCCCAGCAATGCATTAACTTACCACCCCCCCCCTCTCTCTCTCTCTCGCACTAGATCTTAAAGTAGGTGTTTCAAAGAAAGAAATATGAAACCTAACAAAGTCTCCAACCAGCCCAGCCTTCCCCCTACAAACACGAAAGTAAAAAAAAGAAAAAAAAAAATTGAAAGGGAAAATTTGTTAGGCAGGAAAGTTTTTTTTTTTATTGTTATTTTTTGCTTTTCATAATTTCACGGGAGAAATGATTAAGGTACGTAATTAATTAGGAGAAAAATAGAGTGTTTGAGATGACAAAGCCCCACCTACCAACTAAATGCTCACGAAAACAGTCTTTTTCAGCTACCGCATATGTCCAAGCCAGTGAAAAAGGTGAAAAGAGCGAATTTATGGCATCTATGGATCTATTTCTGATCAGTGTGCGTGTGTGTGAGCGCTCGTGCCCCTTTACTGTTCATAATTAATGGCAGAATGCTTCAAATATTGCTAGAGGTGACCCAAAGCAACATATTAGTTCTATGCAATGGCACAACATTTTAGCCCTCCATGGATTTATGTCCAGCTGAAAACGAAGAAGAACCAAAGGATAAGAACACTAAGGCTGGGTTCCACCTGATGGAGAGAGAAACCAAACCCTTGCTATAAATATAAGCTAGGGTTTCTTAAGGTTTTCAAACATGTGACAGCTCAAATTTGGGAACCAAACAGCCGACAGCTCTTGCAAGTTATTAAGCCCGTTTGGACTTTTCTTATGTTCTTTCTGCATTTCCTTCGTCCCTCTGAATGGAAAACAGTGAGACCAGCCACTACGCACTTGCACAGTTGCACAGACATGGAAATAGAAAGGAAATATATCTGCAAAATGATGACCCTGATACAGTAATGCTACTTCTCAGCTTTTTTACTATTTTGACGATTCGCATGCCCTTGGTATCGCATTTAAATTTCATCTCTGTATCAAGGCAGTCATATATTTAATTGAAAAAGCATTCCTAATCATGCACTGGTTTGTTTTCTTAAATTTTAAGAGGATTTCATCATAAACTTATATTCAACTTTTGTGCAATCACGTGCATTCAATTAATAATAGACGAAACAAAAGTTATGTTTACCTTTCACTAAAAAAATTGGATATGTCGTCAAGAAAAAGAAAACTGTTATAGAGCTATGGCATTTTCTGCAATTATTCTTTAAGTTTTTATACTCCTCAATGAAAATAGGCAGAAAGATTATTCATGAATTCACTCAGAAAACCATTAACCGATTGATCATATCGAAATTTTGGATTATGAATTGTGGAGCTAAGCACTTTATACTTTTTGTTGACTCACTGTATACAAACAGTGTGCATTGTCTTCCTCTCCATCCTCTTACTGTAAACACATGGTTCTGCTTTATCTCGATGCGGAAGAAATGAAATCGTAAATCAATAGTAATGCTCAGAGTACTTGTAGTAATGACAACTGAAGAGAAGATGTTTAACCCTAAAATACCATAGGAAAAAAAAGAGGGGAAGTTAAGAATGGCTTCCATCGGCATTATAATCTTCTCAAACAAGTTCTACATCCGATCAAAACATTAAGGAAATATTTATGAAAGAACCAAAGTCTATGACGACGACGCAAGATAATAATTAAAATGGAAAGAAATAAAGAAAACAAAGCTTCAATTCAGACAAAAAAAAAAAAAAACAAAGAGATCAAAGAGGATAAAAATCACACGGAATTACGAGATACTCCAAACCTAGCTAGGAGTCGCTGGTGCTCATCGTATCATTCCTCTCGCTCCCTCCTCCTCCACTGTGATGCTGCTGCTGCTGCTGATGATGATGATAATGATGATGATGAGTTGTTGCAGCGTGTTCTTGTCCCGATCCGACGGGGCGATACGAGTTTAGAGCGGCCAGAATTCCCAAATGCCCCTCGGCTCCACTACCGGATCCAAGGCCTAGCTGTTGCCCGGGAAGCAAAGCCATGGGAGCCGCAGGGAAGTTCATGAAATGAAGACCAGCTGACATGGATCCGCGAAACATTGTGGCCGCCCCCATTTGGGCGAACGGCCACACCGGTTCGCACGCCGTCGTCCCTCCCCCCGCCGCCGCCCAAATAGTCGTCGGTATCTGCCCTTGTGTTAATGACGTGGTGTACCCGGCCAACACCTGTTGCTGCTGGTTCAGCTCCTGCTCCCACCTTCTCTTCCGCATGTTCCCGGCGGCTTCTGCTTCTGAGGCGTCCTGGAAGTTTAGGAGAGACGGGGTAGAGGAGGGGCCGACGTCCCAATCGGAGCGGAGGCGGACGGAAGGGGATGCTGTGAAGGCAGCGGTAGCCGAGGAGAAGTAATGCGCGGCGGCGGCGGAGCGCAGGTGGTGCGATGGTCCGGCGGAGATCGTGGAACCCGAACTGCGGAGAGAGATGTTGAGGGATGTGAAGTTGGCGGGGATGGTACCGGTTCCCGTGGCAGCGATGACGGCAGGTTCGGCCTGTTGGAGGAGCCATTCGATGGTCTCGCCGTCGGATTTGTGTCCGAGTTCGCGTGTGAGTTGGAAGACACGAGCGGCGCAAAGGGCGGGCATGCGGATACGGCGGGGGGGCGGCGTCCGCGGCCGTCGACTTTGGTGTGGCGGTCTTTGGTTGAGCTGCGTTTTGGCGCGGGTTTTTTGGGCGTTTCTTCGGGGATGGAGAGGTGGTGTTGGTGTTGGTGGATGGGGCTGGCTGAGGTTGAGGAGGATATGGCGAGGGTGGGGTAGGGGCCGGCGGAGGTGGAGCAGCTGGGGTCGTCGATTGATTCCCTTTTTTCGAGGAGTTGGAGAGGGAAGTTGGGCCTCCGAGCTCCTCCTCCTCCTCCTCCTCCTCCAATGTTTTCTCCTTCCATTTTTGAACTTTATGCCATGATCGATATTTTATAGAGAGGCTCACCAACTGGCAATGGTGGGAGAGAGAGAGAGAGAGAGAGAGAGAGAGAGAGAGAGAGATAACTCAAAGATCAAAGAGAGTTTGGACTGACGAGTGGTTCCAAGAGAAGATTTTTATCAGTCGATGTAAATTGAAGCTGGAATTGCAACCAAATTTAACTAGAGAAAGAGAGATTAATTTCCAGAAAAAAAGGGCTGAATGAAATTCCAGACAACTAAAAATGGGAAGGAGTTCACAAAACTTTTCGAGGGATTCAAGAACGGGATAGGAGATCTTACTGTTTCCACAAGTCTGTAGAATTAAGTAGCTGGGGATCAACTTGGTATGGCGCGCTCCAAATAAAAAAAACAAATCAAACTCAAATCCTGATGTATGGCTCTGAAAGTAGATAAATAAAAATAAAGAGAGGTCGGGAGTGGAATAGATCAGCTAATTTATAGAAAGAAGAAGGCATGGGAAGAGAAATAATAATAATAATATATGCAGGTTTATTCCATTGCGCTGGTAGGACAATACTAATTTAAATTTATTGCTATGGTGGATGAGAAGACTGGATAACTTGAGAAAGAAAGCGGAACAGGACCTTGGAGGAACGAAAAAGTATCCCTGTGTTTTTGATTGAGAAAGTGATGGAGAGTGTACAAGAGTGAAGAATGCGATAGAGAAATTAATAGACAGAAGGGGGGCCAGTCTCTATGTGATGAAGTAGAGGATAAGGAAGAAGCTAGCAAATCATTTGATTAACAAATTAAATGATTTTTAAGGCGGAAATCATATCGCGTGACCCAAATACATGTTTTTTTGTCTAATATACGCAGATCGAGTTTGGAGTATTTTAGACAATGATATTTAGTATAAATATTATATGAAGTGAATTATAATAATATAGTGCCCAAAATGTTATTTTCATTGTGTTATTTTTTACTTTGACTTAAATAATACTCTTACTTATTTGCATAATTATATATTTCTCTTTAGAGAGCAACATTTTTGTCTTAAGAAAAATAACAACAATAAATATGAAATAAAAAATATTATTTTAAATGTGAATAGGTATTAAATTTCGCTAATAAAATATTTTTTAATAATTGGGCCTAAAAGAAACAGATTTAATCATGTTTTTAATTTATAATTACACGTTTGAAAAATTAATCTTTATTGATGGTGTATCTAAAAATATTATCTAGGATTTAATAAAATTATAACTAAATAAGCTTCTTTAATTAAAAAAAACTTAGCCGACTAATTGTAACCCTCTCTACAATTAAAGCTCATATTATCAGTTGAGAATGTTTGCTTTATTACATATATAACCAGCTTTGCTCCTTTCTTCTCACATATACTGCTCTTTCCATGCTCCATATATCACAGACAAGCTGATAAATAAAAGAGCCTCAAGGCATCTGGCATATTTTTTGCTTTAAAATAGAACAACAGATAATTAAAATTAAGAGATAAAATCTCAAAATGTTAAATATCTATACAGAAATAAAACTAAATAAATATTCAAAAATTAATTTGTATGATATAATATACTAGAATATCATGGTATAAGGTTTTTCTGCCACATATTAAAAATATTTTATTTAATTTAAAATAAGAGGCGTATAATTGCTCTACAGTATGCATCTTCTTCTTCATTAGGGTTTCTCTCTCTCTCTCTCTCTCTGTCTGCTAATATCAATTTTGCTGTAGAGGGGCAGTCACTTGCGCTCAGTCTCCACGTGCGGTGCTCTTTATCATTCATTCAATCCGTAAAGAATTAAAGGTAGTTGTAGGGCTAGTGGGAATGGTGGGGTCCCACCAGCAAGTCAAAAACCGGGAGACTGCGAAAAAAAAAGACGATAATTTGGGACCCTTTCCTCTCTGTAATCATTCCCTCACCTTTTCCTCCATTAGGCTTTGCCCTGCCTCTGTTTCCCAACCCTGGTTGGGATCCCGGGGAAACCTCCGCACCTGGTTAACCCCTTTCAAATCCGCTAATAATTGCACATACGTACACATATTATTATAATTTTATAATAGGACCGCTCTTCGAATTAAAAATTACAAAAGCAATCACTGAGTTTTAATTTTTATTTGCTTAACTAATTATTTTGCTTTTGTGTGGCATAAATTACTAGGTGGAGTTTTTAGAGTAGCATTTTTTTTTACATTTATTCTTCTAAAATTTATATTTATATTTACAATTTTAATATATAATTACAAACTATTTAAAATGCATGGACATTTATACTTGCATAGTTTTTTGAAAATTGATGACAAATAAATATATCTTTAAAAATTTTTGTCCTAATTATATTTTTTAATGAAATCTAAACACTCATTTTTTGAAAATTTTTGTCCTTCTAATTATATTTTTTAATGAAATCTAAACACTCATTACATTATTAAAAATTCAATTAAAATTTAAACAAATATGAATTAAATTGTTATTAATTTAGTGAGAAAAGTAATATAACTATTATTATTGTGACAAAGTTATTGATAATATAATAAAATGAATATTTTAATAATTTACTATTAGTATTTCTTAATCGCTCTATTGTATAGTTTTCCCAGTAAAACAAAAATTCTTATCGTGAACTTCATTTAAATATTATCAACCGAAAGGCCAACATTCTGCACCATACAATATTGCAGGTCTCATTACCATCTTCTAAAACTTTCTTTTAAATCTTACCAGTATTTTCTATCACACAATAGACTGTATGCATTCCTCCACTTCAACCAATCAACTTGAAATCTACTAATTAATCACATTCTCATTTATATCACAATCATTTTGAACAAGAGACCTGAGATATCTAGAACGTTCACACCTTTTAAATGATTTGATCACCCGTAGTTACAACTCTATCACTAAAGCTACTACTTTTGAAATTACAACTTCTAGATCTACTCAAATGAAGGACTTTAGACTCCAATATCAGCCTCCATAATTTATTTTTTTCCTAAACTTTTTCTCTAGTCTTATCCACAAGAAGGATATGATGGGCGAAAAGCGTGCACCAAGGTGCATCCTCCTGTAAAATGTATAGCAAGAGCATCCATAAATAAAGAAAAAACATGTGTGCTTAAAGCCAATTACTGATGTAATTAGTGTAGTTGATGATTCGATTTCGAGTTGAGCTAGTCGGCTCAAAATCGGCTAAAAAAAAATTCAAGCCAAAATTTTGGTCATAGCTCGGCTCATTTTTTCGATCTGATCTTGATCCGAGCTAAAATTTGAATCAATTTTTGAGCAACTAACAATCTTTGAGCTAAATTTGCTAAATTCATTCATATGTTGTTAACAATTGAATTCGAGTTGGGGTCAGCTCAAAATTGAATTTGATCCAAAATTTTGGCCCACAACTTAGCTCATTTATTTCAATATGATCTTAATATGACCAAAATTTGAATCAATCTTCGAGCGATTAACAATCTTCAAGTTAAATTCACAGCCCTGGATGTAATCCAATTGAAACAGGACAATATTTGACAAAACTTCTAGTCCCTAAACCTTAAACCATAAATGCATTCTTTAAAACAAATGAAAAAAAAAATAAAAAATGAAAATGAAGATAAAAAAGTTACCTTTCTCGATCATTTCAAGTAGCAGAGGAGTGGAAGGAAGAGAAAATTGGGAGTTTTTGGTCACTCTAACCCACGATCCCACTGTCGTGTTCCCTGCTAGCTCCTATTCCTACCATATCACGAGGGTTTAGGAGATGAAGCAATGACTTTGGACGAAGCAGAGAGGGACATGCAACAGTTTCAAGCAGAGGCGAGGGCTTTTTGTAGAGAAGATGAGAGACCGGGTGGAGAGATTAGGGCAAGATCGAGAGGCAGGTTCAAGTGGGATATATGATTAGTTCCGACGAATTATAAATATTGAACTATGGTCATCAGTTATTAACACTATTATCAAAGGCCTTTCCCATAACTTAATAATAAAATGTGTCGGTTAAAACCCATTATATGACAGGTTCAAAGACAACTGATACATTATAGTCGTCGATTAATAGTTAATTATAACTGACAGGTTATTCCATCGGTTAAAATTAAAAACAGTTGGAGAATACTTTTTATAAGCAATGATATATGCTGTAGTTATGTCATTGCAAATAACCGGGATAAAAAATAGTCACAAAATTGTCAGTGATTAGAATAACTTTTCAACGTGAAAAAACCCGTTATTTTTTTCGTCCCTTTCAGCATTTTTTTCTGTAGTGCTTGCTCCTCTCCAACAATGGCAGTTGATGCCTCAAAATGACCCTTCCCTCTGACTGTTGGGAAAGTGTCCCAAGCCGCTTTCCTAATCTTTAACGAACCCAAATTACAGTCGATGCCCTATTTGGGTGAAGAACCAGTCAATAGGACATGAACCGGCGGTCTTCGCCACTTCACCGATAGAAATCTAGGGACCACAAAGAAAAATTTGTGAAATGGATTGAACTGGCATGGCCACTCTAAGCTCGGTCGTAGTCGCACCACCAAAGCAATCATCGCAGGTCGGAGGTCGGCGTGGCCACACCAGAGAGTCAGTGTAATTACACCAACTCTTTGTCTGATCGATGTGGTCACGCCGCCTCTAAGCATGGCACGCCGATCGGGGGACCTATGCACCTCTCTTGATTTAAGTGTGGCCACACCCACACCCCGGTGTAATTATGCCAAAGTATCTATATAGCTAGCGTGGTCATACCATCTTTGGGCATGGTCACACCGGAAGTAGAAATTTTTGGGCTTTTTGAGAGGCTTTGGTATGACCATGCCCAATTTAGGGGTGATCATTCCATGGGTTGGGCACGACCACACATAAATTTGGTGTGGTCACACCGGACCCCTTCTAACTTGGGCTTTCGAAAAAGCTCCCCAAGGGTGTTTCGGCCGTCGTAGAACCCTAGGAGGATTGGCTATGAGCGAGTCATGATTATCGAGTAAGAACGATTCCAACGAGAAATCCGTCTATCTAAACCTTAGGCTTATTACATGAACATTGTGTTAGGTAACTATATCAATGATCTGCACCATGAAGATGTTTTTATCGACAAGGCACAA